CAAAATTGCCGTGTTTGTCTGAGTAAGAAAGTCTTCTGAATGGCAAGGAAGGTTGCAATGGTATTTAATGTCATCGTGAGACTTACCATTCGCTTCGACATCATTTCCTTCCTGATCTTGCTTATACTTCTTGGCTGGGCCTGGAACGGTGTGGGGTAGAGAGAACGGCAACTCAAGAGATCTGACTGAACTATTTGTCTCTGAGCTCAACATGTTAACATATCCCCCAACACACGCGATGGCCCAACTTAACAACCAACCTCACCAACTGGTCGCAAAGTAAACATTCGTGGGAAACTCAATAAGAGATGTCTGTGGAGAAGGTCATTTACTCTCGCTTAGTCCGACGGAGTAGACTCTCGAGTTTGATGCTGTGGTATAAGAACCGACCTAAAAAGCCAATCCCTCTCTCTCTCTGCTGGCAACTTCACATTCGAGAAGCAGTCAGTTACCACGCCTTATCTCCCAGCCCATTCTTGTGCACAATTGCACACACAAACAGAGGGAGTGCACTTTGGCCTCTTTGAAGAAGATGCATTTTCAAAAGAGGCGGTTACCCTAGCCACTCACCAACCCCCTAACGTCGTTGAGGTACTCCTGTTGGACAGCCTCTTGTCCAGTAGACTGGTCAAGCAGCTTGAGGGGAGAAGTGTCGTGAAGAAGACCAGTTTCTTCAGGCTGGCTCAGGTGGGGACTCACGGCATCGAGTGGCTCTTTGGCCTAATCAAATAGACTTCAGTATTGAGGCCGAAAGGAGCGTCTTTCGCTCACTCCCATTGTGTGTGCTCACAAATGCCTGTACCCGCTTGTGTGTATCCCTGTGTGTGTGTGCACGTGTTTGAAGAGAGTCCTTTCACAACGATAGCCCTAAGAGGAAAGTGAGGAAGCTCGAGAATAGAAAATAAATATAACCCATGCATATCATCGGCGAATGTAAATACAAATAGGTAGCCAGAAAATAAAATACTTTGCATTATAGCCTTACTTGTGTAAAATCGCTTCTTTTTCAGTCCACTTTAGGCGGCTAATGTGAATTGTCCTGCTAAGGCCAATTCAATATTTAAATATTTGTCATTAAATCTAGTTGCTCTGGATCGTTCGAAGCGCTTTAGGGTTTGCTAGTTCAATTTTCCCAAAACAGAAGGAGTCTTACACCAGAAGGGCTTTCTTACCCAGACTGAACTGCAATTTCGACATTTTTTCATCCTCCCATCAGCACCCCTAAAAAAATTAGAAATCGGTTTGTGAGCACCATAGTGACACATTGCTACAAATCACAATTGGTTAACGGGACAGATAGGACAATGAGGTCAAACCATACTTCTCCCGAATCAGAGTTATAATGGTATTTCCCATAATGCAAAAAAGCACTTAATGTAAGAGCTGTATTAATCCTATTTCGCTTAAGGTGATGAAAGATAATCAGTTGAATTTAGATACAATCATATGAGTATGAATCACATTATGAACTGAATTTCACACATCCTTACTTCCCAAAAGGAATTCTCACCTGGGCAGTAGGGGACTGCAGTTTCGACCTCGCCTACGCCTCATCAGCACTTACAGCGGGACCTAAACTATCATAGTCTACTGTATAATCTCAGCACATTAACCACTGCATCACATTGCCACGAGTGCCTTGAGGCACAGGGAAGAAGTGAATGTGAAGGAAATCTAGGTCTTTCTCATATCATATTTCTCTGGTAGAATTGTCGGTGAAGTAAAGTTATATTTTTCATAGCATTCGATCTCATTACTTATGTTTAGTTTATATGTAGGTTTTTAAGACTACCAGTACCTCTAAAATAAGAAGAAAAACTGGGTTTCGAAGAATTCTTTAGTGACATAACTTGTGATATAACTTTCCATTTCAAAGGAATAATTGGTTGAAATGAATTCGTGATGTGGTCTGACCGGAAACGAAGGAGGATTGCAGAGTAAGGAAGACTGTTGAATTGTGCGAAGAAGTCCTTGGCTCACCGTCCTACGACCCCGATGAAACTGTGCTGAGCTTTCGTCTGTGCAATCTTTACAGACATCATCAAAGTAGGTATCCATACTTCACGAAATAGAGCAAAAATATACTAAACCTGTTTTCTTGGTTAAATATATTTTTGCCGGAGCGTCTCATCAGTGTCGCAGGACGGTGAGCCTAGGAATTCTTCGCACAATTTAACATTCCTCCTTCAGATTCCGGTGAGACCACATTACGAATTCCTTCCAACCAACTTTTCCTTCGAAATGGAAAGTCATGTCACAAGACCAGTACATCTGGCATAAGAGCCATATTCACCCTATTTCATTTAGGGTGATAGTAGATGATACTATCTTGTGGGCAGCAAGTTCATGTGGAATTCATTGAAAAACATGAGGCCTACACATATGATCACGGAAAAAATTCAAATAGCAGTCTTTCATCACCCTAAACGAAATGGGGTGAATACAGCTCTTATACAAGATCTACTGGTAGTCTCGAAAACATACATATAAACTGAAATTAAACATGTATTTACCATAGCAGCCGATGTTATTACTTGTTTACATTGTTAGAAGCCTTCTAGGTTATCATAAATTCTTGCATAAGAAATTCATCATTCTAGGTCGCTGAGTTTAGGACAAATTATACTATTAAACGTATGTGAGTAGAGTTTCGAGACTATCAGTAAATCAGTTATATGAGTTATATTTACCCTATTTTGTTTAAGGTGATAAAGGACTGGTAGTAGAATTTTTTCACAATGATATGAGTAAAGCTGATGTTTCCATTAAATTTCACCAAGCCTCGATTTCCCAAAAGTTGTTCCCATCCAGTATGGACTGCAACTTCTACCTCGCATCGGTCTTATCAACACCCCCAGTGTGATAGTGCAGAATGTGAACTTGACACTTTAACCACTCGGCCGCATTGCCACGAGTTCCATTGGGTCACAGGGCAGATGTCAATTTCATCTCATATTACTGATTTACTGCTAGTCTCGAAACTCTACTTACATATGAAGAATAAGTAACCTAGTCGATTGTTAAAGCAAATATACGTTTGCCTCACCGACAATCGGTCTAAATAATGTGATAAGGGAAAAGGTCTGACCTTCCTTGAAATTGACATCTGTCTTGTGACCCAACGATACTCGTGGCAATTTGGCCGAGTAGTTAACCTGTCAAGCTCAAATGTTGGCCTGTCATGGTTCGACTCCCACTGTATGGGCTGATAAAACTTATGCGAAACTGCAGTCCACTCTAGCCGCGATGATAAAAATTTTTTGGAAAGCAATGCCATATGAAATTCATTGGAAACGTCAGCTCATCTTATATCATTGTGGGAAGATTTTACTACCAGTCCTTCATCAATTTAAACGAAATAGGGTGGATACATCTCATATACTAATAATCTTCATTTGTATAGAAGAATTTATAATAACCTCGGGACCTACCCACATAGCATATGAGTAGTATTGTCGAGTTCAATGGCACTCGCCCTCTGGTGAGATTGATCTTGGTTTCTTCGCATCGCATACATTCACTCAAAATGAAAAAGTGAGCTTAGCAATCGTAAATCAAGAGATTCTTTGACAGTTATATTTTCTCGTATATGTTTAAAAGAAGTAATGAGAAGAAGCGTCGTCCTACAGTCACTTTACTGTCAAATATACCGATTATGTAGCCTGACACAAACTCCAATGGATCAAAGTATGTATTTGGTTGGCCCGTTGAAGGCTGTGGCTAGTGACTACTCAATCTCTTCATCACTCATTTTCACTTAAAATGAAGGTCAATTCAACATTGGTATACCAAAATACTTCTCGAACAAAGTGGTATACCTTTACAGCGACTAGGCTTCTGACAGCTGTAAAGCACAATTATTAATAGCATGACTTTTAATTATCAGTGCCAACTTCTCCACAAAATTAGTTCAAGTCAGGTTTGCTGTGTAACATAATGATGCAATGGTGATGTAGCTTAGAAGCCAAATTAATTATTCTGCGTGGACAGACTCCCTTTATGTTGAAATACCAAAACCGTGGCTAGGTTGACTTACCGTGTTAGCAGCTGGAGCAACGTCATCAGATTGGAGACATGTCGGCAAACTGCGATTCCCACTGGGAGACTGCGATTTGTTAAGGTGGGAAAATGAGATCCAGTTTGTATGCAAGAGCTCAATAGGGATAATAAGGTTGAAATGCGAGGGTGAATTCAGGCCTTCCAGGCAGATTAAAGTGGATGGTTGTTATGTAATCAGTGTCCCGTAGCCACCAAAAGTATGGCCTACTGGATTACCCTCTTTGACACGTTGCTAGTTGTGTCTTTCGGAATAATGGGCAGATTTGGGGGAAAAGAATAGCAGAAAAGCGGTTCATAACGTTGATTGCTAGTTGATGATTTCATTTTTGCTAATTATGCTTGACCGTGAAACTATTTAACTACGATTTCCGAACTTACTTTTCCATTTTGAGTGAGAATATGTGAGGAAGAATCTGTTGGCCCAAATCACCAGAAGACCAAGCCTAATTGCTGTTGGCCAGTTGTCACGCTCTACTGGCACCTTCTGGTTTCTAATTCTGTTGGGAGTTTTGAGGATCTAGTCTCGTTAAGAAAACCTTTTGCCGGTGAGGTTAAGTGTTGCATTTGATATTATCATGAGGCCTACTCATATTTGTGTATAAGAAAACTTATTTGTCATTCCTTAAATAATCTTAATTGACCCAGAGCGACTAACCTGATGGTCGCCCTTATCATGAAAATTAGTTGGACGCAAGAAAACTCGTAAGAGCTGCCTCTAATGGGGAAGAGTAGAAAAAAACCCGAC